TCGGAAGTAACCTCCTCTCGCCGGCGGCGTCGACGGCGGTCGCGCGATCGTCGCGCGCAACGGTGCGCCGTGTGCCGATCCCGACGACGGTTTGGATTTTTCGCGCTTAAATCGCCCGCGTGCCGTGACCCGCGCGCGAGACCGTCGCGAAACCTGCGATGTTTCGCCTGCCGTAAGACGGTCGCAACATGTTCGTGACGAACCTGGAGAAGGATTTCTACGATGCGATACAGAGAAGCGTGAGTCGACGTCCCGTACTGCCTCGCGGCCACCGTCTCCGTATTCCGCGTCCGTCGTATAGGTTACACGCCGCGCGATCCACCTGCCTGCACTGTCTCGTCGTTTCTCGTGCTCTCTCCGCCAGCTCTTCCGGCTCTTCCGCAACGTTCCGGTCACACTCGTCCGGGTCTTTCTCGTCCTTTCTTTCTACGTAAATCACGCAGTTACACAATTCTCTCTCTATTTTGGGCGATCGGAGTTTACAACTTTGTTGAACGCGTGCGAGTCTCTAACCATCATTGATTTTCCTTTGTTTTTTTATTAATAATAAAATATCTATTGTTGATAAAGTTTTATTTACAATAGACACAAACAGCATGTATATTCTTTGTATGCTTTATAAGAAATAACTCTTCTTTAAATTCGACTATTTTCTAATTCATAGTTGTATATAATTCTATTTTTCTCTTGGATAAAATAGAAAACTGTATTGTACAACTCTTCTGTTAATAATAAATATAACGTAAACCGTGTATCTCTGTTTGTTATATACTTCATAACAAGTAATTCATTAAATCCACATTTGCATTCGTAATTATAATCATCTTTTTTTTAGATAGAGAATCGTATCATGCATGATTCTTTTGTTTCTTATTAATAATAAATGTGTTCAATATCGATAAAATCTAATTTATTAATAATAAGCACAAACAACATATGTATTTGCTGCTTTACAACAATAATTCTAATCGTTAAATTTATATTCTTATTCATAGTTGTGTAATTCTATCTTTCTTTTGGATAAGTAAAAAAACTACGTGTGATTCTTTTATTTATTAATAACGAACATAACAAACATATCTGTTTTTCTTACATAATTCTTAAATAATTCTTTATTAAATTTATATTTATATATATTATAATTCTGTCTTTCCTTTAAGCAGTTGGAAAATTGCATCTTTACTAATAAATAAACGTGACACAAATAACATCCATTCATTATGTGTGTTGCAACAAATAATTCTTCGTTAAATTTATATTTTTATATTCATATTTTTAAGATTAAAAATTATAGCTTGAGTATTATTCGACACTGAACAATTTTCTATTTCATAGAAATATCTAATCCTTCCTATTTTAGAGGTGTTTACTTCTGGTGAACTTCGATGTTGATGCAATCTGTGCCTGTAGGATACTGCAACAGCTTTTCAAAAATGATCATATGATATATACTCTTGTACCTGTCCGAGGTATTCAGGATATGATAAGTGCCTTTGACGAAAACTGTGAAGAGGTAGGGACACAAGAGTCTTCAAGATACATTCACATTGAATTGTGTGCTTCACTGACAAAAAATAATTAATTTAAGAAAATGTTCTCTTTCCAGATAAAGAATGTTGTTATGATAAACTGCGGTGGTACTTTAGATTTGGTAGACTTACTCCGACCAGACGAATCCGTGGTATTTTTTATCCTCGACAGTCACAGGCCTTATGATTTATGCAATATATACTCAGAAAGTCAAATACGTATTCTTGGTAAACCCGATGAAGACAATGAGATCCCAGAATATAATGATATATTCCGAGATGACAGTGTGAGTAACAGATTGTTTCATTTTGTTCAATTCTTATTCTATATCCTATATCTTCTATAAATCTGTTCAATTATGTACAGTCAGATGAAGAGGACGTGAATGAAGAATCAGACAATGAAAACGAAGGCAGGCAAAGTAAACGGCGAAGATTGAACGAAGAAGACATGGTGAGGAGAAGCGAACGAAGAAAATGGGTTGAAAACAGGGCAACGATTCTTTTCAATTATTTACAATACAGTTACTATGGCAAATCGGTATGCATTATAATTTACGATTTTGATAATAGTGAAATTCTGTTTTACAAGTTCACTGTATATGTTACGTTTTATTACAGAGCGCGATAGTAGTATTTGAGATGGCTTGGAATATGTCAAAGGATAATCTAGATATGGCATGGTGGGCCATAGTTGGTTCCACGGAACAATCTATTCTCAGCAAAGTGGAGTCACGAATATCCGTTCTTGAGGAAGGTTCTCTTCAGGCACATGTTTCAAGATTAACGCATAGACAAGGTGTTGATATCGACAAGCAACAACAGCAACAGAGTATTGTTAAAGTTACGTACGATAAAGAGTATCCTTTCACACGTATAATTTGTTTCTGATTCGATACTTAAATTTGGCATAGGCTATGTTAATTCCTTATTGATAACGAACAGTCTCCAATTAGCATTGTATCGTCACTGGACTGTCGAAGCCAGTTTGAAGTATTCAATGTCAACTGCAATATCGTTACGTCTATGGTCCATTAGAGGAGAGCAACGTTTGAAGGAAGTTTTAGCCGAAATGGGTTTACCTCTGGTGCAATCCAGACAATTGTTTCGTGCAATGGATCTTACTTTTAGACAAGAATTTAGACAGATGGTTGAAAAATTAGCTGGCAAATATAATGTCAGTAGCATCATCGGCACTAGTTTTACCCTCCAATATGGTTATCGTTTTAAATATTGTGCATCAGATATGGTATATGCTATGTTGGCTTTACTGGACTCGACGGTAAGCAGTCATTAAATATAGTTAATACTTTTAAATATGTTAATATTTTTTCTAACGTATACGTGACCCGTACTTTTACAGACAAAGGACAGACAACCACAACGTTGTTTCTTAGACGCGCTGGACTGTTTGTCACGTACAAAAAAGGATGTTTTAGAAAGTGGCATTGAAAAGGCAAAGTTTATGCTTCACAATATCTTTAAAACTGCCCAGAGTGTGTTAGAAGCTAAACAAGTAAAGAATTTCGGTTCCTTTTTATATCTCGGTGTGCCGGATGGAAATATAGATAATTATTTATTTGCACATCCTCATCCTTTGATCATGCTGGCTCAATTTGCCCTCAAAGCGTATGTAAATTCTTCGAGAAACAGACGCGCTTCTGAGTGGCCTCTTGTGGCCTCCGCAGTATTTAATGTAGAGGAAGGATCGTGTCTTCTTGTCGGCATACCGCCAGTTTGCGAGGATCAACCCAGAAGGTAATATTTTATAGACATAAATAAAATATGATTTATATTATTTAACCATGAATTTTGTGGTTGTTACAGTTTATTCGGGAAAGCATTCGAGCAAGCCGCAAAGAATAAAAATTGTTACATTGAGGCAGATTATTTTGACAGTACAAGTAAGTATGAAATAAAATTTTGTAAGCTGGTTGACGTGAATCAGATGGAATTTATTGTATTTAACATTTTTCCTTTTTACAGTAATAAGACTGAAAATCGAAGAAAGACCTAAGTTTCTTGATGCTTTGGCAGCACTCCTCGCGTGATAATCATCATGTATAATTATCAGAGATGGACAATATGACAATTACTTTAATCAAATTTTTAACTAACACGACTATTAAAACAACTCGATACACTTTATAGCTCATGACGTATAGTGCCTTTTTTTTTAAAAACGCAAGTTCATTGTATAATTTTTAACCAGCGACGGTAGTAGCTTTATAATTGTAAAATATTTAATATATAAATTAGAACTGATATGTGAATCATTAACATCGTGTGAGTGTAATGTGTGTTGTATAAAAAAATGTAGGATACAACAGTAAGTGATAAGTAAAAGATTCCAATAATGCTTGTATTAGTAATTTAAGAGACATAAATACTTTTATAAAAAAGAACTTGATGGAGAAACAAAAAAAAACGCAGATACAAATAAAGTCTTTTGCTATATTGGACAATTGATATGATGCTCATCATTGCTTATATGCCTAAGAAAATTTATACAACAAATGTATATTTATACAAATATTGTGTCAAATATTTAAATACCGGCAATGTAAGTACAATGCAGCTCGTATATAAGCTACATAACAATGAATAGGCTATTTTACAAACACAAGAACCTCCAGTGCGCTTACCTGGTATTTATTTAGTAATTTATAATATATTAACGTATTCGTGTGCGTCTTACGTACGTACGTACACTAAAAAATACAATTTGATCAATTTAGTTTTGACTGTGGTATAATACAGATTTTTTTGTTACATTCGCGATGAATTACGTAAGAACAAGTACAACTTACACGCGAATCTCTCTATATAAAGAACGACGATATCACAGAGACAGGAGAGGAAAAGAAGAAGAGAAAAAGAGGGACTTTTTTGTCTGAACAACCGTTATAAAATTTGACAAGTACAAATTTTGTATTTAATTAACTTTTTGTATGATTTTAGGCCGGCATACGTTCGGTAGTTTTTGATGTTTTATGCACTGCCGCTATTTTATTTATCGGCAGTTTGTTATTGAGAAATCCATCGACGAACTGTTGCACAGAGTCCACAGTAATCTCAGCACCGTACTCCATTACAACATATATCCCTCGCGGAATGTCGATAGCAGTTAAAAGAGGTACTGCATCATCCAAACCAATGAATTCGCGAAGAATGTCCGATGTTTCACACTGTGTCAAAAAAATCATTAAATGTCATTAGTTTAGAAACATTTCATATTTAAGAAACATTTGCAGTTTTACACAAAATATTTACATCTTATAGACTTATAGTCATAAAACTATGGATTCTTATTCTTATAAATATTCAAAAATTACACAAAAGTCATACTAATTAGTTATATTAATTATAATACCTATTTAATTTTATGTCATATGTATATGTATATACACTTACGTCTAAAGCTATGTAAAACTGCAAAGAATCATCATCAGGATCATCATAATTTGGATCATAATCAGGTTGATCCCTTCTATATATTTGTGCAGCTGGCAATAGTACACTTTCTCCAAATTGAATTTCACAATCGTCTCCCTCTGTAAAACATAGAATTCTAACAGTTTAGTTTTCAGCATATTTTATTCTGTTAATTTCTATACATGTACATTTTATTAATATCATCTTACCGACAAACAAGATAATGGCTGGAGCATCATGTAATGATGTAGCATACTTTTCTGTTAGGATATTCACCAGTCTAAAGCTCCAGGGAAAATTCTGAAAATTAAATAAATATAATTATTAGTAAATAGAATATTAAAAATTAGTTCTGCAATAGTAAAAATTTCAAAAGAGGATATTTTATAGATATTTTATAGATTTTTTATAATCTTTAATAATAGCGCCTTTATTTTTCTGGTATTTTATTTGCGACATAATTATATTTGAGAAACTTTTATTCAAATTACCAGTCCCTCTGGATCTTCGATCAATTCAGCGCGTCCATCTAGAGTGATTATATTGTCGCGAGGATCCAGAATGACTAAAGTAGGTATTGCCTGTACGTCGAAAGCTCTCGCCAATTTTCGACGTCTTTCTTCTTGATTAAAAGGTATCCTCAACCAAGGCATTGTTTCGGTGTACGCATTGTAAGAGTCCTCGCTCCTAGAATACAAACACGCCATTGAATTGCTTTACAAAAGGTAAGCAAAGAAAATAAGAAGATAACAGAAACAATAATTATACGGAAAAATTATCCGTCAAATGAGAGGAACAAATATCTCGAAATGAAATGCGACTTAAAGACAAGAGTGTATTTTAAAAACCTACCTGTCCGAGCTCACGAAAATTACTTCAAAATCGTGGCCTCTTTCCCGGATTCGTTGATACGTATCCACGAGTTGCGGGGTGAATGCTTTACAAGGCGGACACTAAATTAAAAGAACGCAATGTATTAATAAGATGATTAATAAGATTTGAATGCGTAACATAAATATTTGCACAATCAGGAATATAGAAAATTTAATTTTAAAATAACAAAATCCCCAAATATAACTTAGATTGAATAAAAAAATAAATTCTAGAAAAGATTCTATATTCTTTTATAAATATATAGAATCTAAGGAAGAGCTGGTCAAAGACGGTATAATTTTTACAAGAAAATATTAGAGCTTATAAAGAGAATTCTAAGAAAAAATACTAAAATTTATAAATTTAATTTTAATTCTGGTTCGTTTACTTTGCAAACTACAAATATTAGCAAAATTTTACTATTATTTTATACAAAGAGCGTAAGATTATTTAATTTATCTGTCACCGTTTCGCTGAAGACGGCTCAAATTAAGTAAAGCTAAAACGTATATACGGTTTATAACTTTGTGTTGAGTTAATTATAAGTTACATAACGTTAACTCACGCACAACTAACCGTGTTCGACTCTCAAAGTTAAGCCCACTTTGTTCTTTGTTAATTATTAATTTCTAATTCACTTGGGTATCATTGCTCACCCAATGTGCACTGAAGTAAACCCCTTTGAAGCAGTGGCGGAGCTCCTCGTGCAACATAGGCTCGTTGCTGTCGCGAGCGCCGCACGGTAGGAGAGGTCCATCCTCGAGGGCAGCTTTCGGATGCGGAGGTCTCCAAGGGAATTCCGCGCCGGTGGGATCGGCGATAGTTCGCTCGACACCTCCTCTTGTCACAACCGATCCGTTGGACGCCTCCAGTAAAATCAACGTCGGCACGCCCGCCTTTATCCGATACCTTCGAGTCAGTCTGGTCTGGAAAAAATTAATACACATTGCGAATAATGATATACTCGAATGGCAACGATTAAAAGCAAATTGCAAAATTGAATGTTCTCGGGAGACCCACTTAAGCTTCGAAGACATCTTGAACTTCGAAGCTTCGAATATCAAAACCTTAATTCGAAGCAAATCACCAGCCCTAGTTTTTACGTTCAGCGCGACTCATATGTTCATTTCTATATCAATGCAGATTAACTTTAACTTACTTTTTGTCTTTCTCTAGTTCTAAGGATTAGAGGAAGATAAACAGCAAGTTACACTGAGATTTAAAGTTAATCTACATTGGTAGAAATAAACGTCAGACGTTTAATTACGAAACCTTTCATTTTGTTGAGAATCTCGCGCGTAATACCATCGTATGTATATATGCGGTTTTAATTAACGTGATGCAGGAAGGAAGGAAATAATGGTCTCGCTCAATAGCACCAATAAACAAGACGAACTAAAAGCGTATTTCTCCAGAGACCTTCTGCGGGAATAAGCGCGAATAGCTGCAGTCGGAGCTGCTGTTAACGATGCAAGCGATATTACCGTACAGATAATATTACTCGAGGTATAATAAGGATAATGGAATAAGAGCTGCACGCGTGGAAGCCAATTACCGGCGAAAATATACCAATGCACAGTTTACTGTATCGTATGCGTTGATCTTGTTTCTCTCAGCAATTCAATAAATAACAAACAGATTTTCCATTATCTTTATTATTATATATGTATAATTGTAATATTTTACAATGTAATGTTCGCAACATTGTAATGGAATATATTGTACGCTTTATTAAAAGTCATTCTGCAGTGCAAATCACGATTTCAAAAGCTTTATACTGCGCAAAATTGACTCGTTATTTATTCGACTAAATTAATTTATCTGTACTATTTTGTTAATGTGAATAAAATAATCAATTTTTTATTGCTTAATATGTGGATAGAAAAATTATATCAGAAACAACGGATTATATTTAAAAAATTTCTTCAAACAATTCTGTCAGTTGAATTAATCGCCGATTAAATTAATCGGAGTTTGGTGGAAATCGCGTTTAATGCATGAATTTGTTTGCATATTTGGAGCGCGTGTTTCCAGTCTGAAATATTCGTGTGTTGCAACTGTTGATTATTCGCTGTCTATATAATCTAATTTCTTTTCGTTTTGTTAAACGATAAAAAATAAATCGTTCTATCTATGTTGAAACCACTAGTGTAGGTATTACCTAATTAGTTAATTAACTGATTAGATTAATCGGAGTTCGGAAAAACCTGGGACACCCTAAATATTATAATTTCATCTCTTTATATGAAAATGTAAGTGTTTTTTTCTCAGTCCTCTAATGTTATTTAACATAATACAAACGCGTCTTTTTCAGAACGAAACATGTTATCTCAGAATACATTTCCAGTTTCTCCGTCGACGAAACTCGCTGACGCAGCTTCTCGTCATAATCGTCGATCGAGTGTCATAATTCGAGTGAGAGGAAAATCCACGCGCGCGCGCGCGTGCATCCGTACCGAGTCTAAACCTTCCAATCTACCCCTGAAACTGCATTAAGTTGGCCGACCCTCTTCTGGAACATTCGAAGCCCCTTGTCCCGATGTCCCGATATCTCGAGGGAGGATCGGTCGGGATTTCTCGTATCGCGCGGGATGCCCCGTTACAGTTTATGGCGCGCATAAAGGGTGAAAGGAGAAGAGGGGACACAGAGAGGGTGAGATAGAAGAGGCGTAAGGCGAGAGAGAAGGGCCTCGTAGGTAGCGAACACGATGGATCGCACTGTACGTTATCGCGAGTATAATACTTTTACCGGGCGGGAGAAAGGAGAGGGAGAAAGAGAGAGAGAGAGAGAGAGAGAGAGAGAGAGAGAGAGAGAGAGAAGGGCGCGGAAGGGCAGGAGGGCGGCGCGGAGGCGCGTCCCTTCATATATTTCCCGCTCCCGCGTCACGTGGTGGTGCTTTCGCGCTCGCCCTCGCTCCGAGTCTCTCGAGCGGTCGATAACGCGTGCGTCCTCCCTTGGCCGTGTTGCTACCGTTCAGTGAACGACGTTGCTATCGTTATTTCCCTCGCTCAGCTTTGTACACCGGGCACCGTCATAAACGCTCGCCCCTTATTAGACGACCGCCTGTTTCCAGTACTCGACGACGAAACGGAATCGCTCGAGAGGATTGAAGGTTGAAAGTTCACTCGAAACGTTCGAAACTGTAAAAAGTTTAATATTAGTCCTTTGTTCAATTTGATAATTTATTCGACATGAAACATTCCCGCTTATTCTCTATAGTCTTCTTCTATATTGTATATGTATATATCTTCTTTTCTATATAGTCTTCTTCTATATATATCTTCTTTTATATATCTTCAAGATCTCGACGAAGTATAAATTGCTTTCCACGGATGCATATCTTAATCCACAGATATCTGAACACGTGCATTCTAAAATGTACACGCGGGAACATGTCTTACATATAAATACTTCACACGTGGTCAAGGCATTTACGACCCCCGTAAATTACGGCCCCCGTGTGTACGTCTAATAACGGTCGAGCGAGCATTTATGACGTCCAGTGTACATTCCCTGCCATCACGACATCGCACTCTACGTGTCTTCATCTCCGTTTCTCTCCCTCTCTTCCTCCCCATCCCTTTTTCTCCATCCTGCATCTCGCGTTCTCTCGTCGCAGGCCTTTCCCTCTCGTTCGCTGCCGACAAAATCGCCGCGACTCCGAGTGGAAGCGAGCAACCGACCTAAAAAAGAACTCGAGGGGGATGAGAGAAAGAAAGACGAGACGGAGAGATCACTTTTGGTTCGCACGCGTTCAATCGTCTCCCCCTTGCCGCCCTTTCGTTTATACAAAGACCGCAAGGTCTCTATAGTCCGACGCCTCTGCCGTGCGCGTTCAACTACAGCCGTCGCGACGGTAGCCGCGTGCTTCTGCCTTCAGACTCCCTCTCGGTTATCCACGGGCGCTGCTCGTAAGCAATGTCCGTAGATAAGCGAATGTCGCGTGTAGACTGCTCATTGCGACGGCGTGGGATTTACGTTTTCTTTTTTGCACGCCGCTGTTACACCGCAAACGAGATCCTTAAATTCCCTACGCTGTTGAAGCGATAATAAATCCGAGATGTTCGAAAGAGAGGGAAGGGAATTCATATCATCCCTTGGTGATCGTTATCGATAAGCGCGATTGTTATCGAGTAGCTCGAAACGATCAGCGACCGAGTGTACTCGACGTCGGAAGCGCGATTTCGCGTGACGTTCATAACTGACGACGCTAAGTACTTGTTGAAATGATCTACCGCGGGATCTTCAACCACCCGTCGCGTTCCGGGTGGATTTCCTCTTTCCAGCCCTCGCTCGAGGATTTAATCAGCGTAGGACAGGTCCGGACACGCTAATCGGAATTTATACAGATCGAAATCTTTCCGATTATCCATCGCTGTCGACGGATGAAAGAAAACCGCTTTGAATTGATTCGTTACGAGACTATTAATAATCCACGAAGAGTATTCGATTATAAGGGAGCTAGACAACGCAGTCGCCGCCGTGAAAGGTTGATACACCGACGATCGCGTGGCTCAAAGTTCCTCGTCGGGAAATTCGTTTTTTCCCCCGGCAAACACAGGGACGGCTTTTCGTGTGAGCAACCTGTGCATTCACCACTTTCCCTTTGACCACGAGCTAACAGACCATGCACAATTCATAGGCATGCACGCGGTTGAAAAAAAGGGAACGAAACAAAATGTAAAGGGAAACCGCGACATGTAGCAGCGATAAGATTTCGCTTATCTATGAACACGTGCGCATTCGATATTGCAGAATCAGGCGATTCTTTTTAATACGTGTTTTTTTTAAATAATATTATTAATATAGTTATATTAAGGTTTATGTTTGAACAATGATCAATTGGCTAGACCATTAAAATCGTTGACGGGGTAAAAGCATGCAGTGACTTGTAATTAATGTATCATGTATACTTTTAAGTTTATTAATATAATATTAAACTTGCATTTAGATTAGATACATAATTGACAATAGATATTAATAACATGGTAATTTTAGGGATATTATATCTATTATGAAATGTTAATTAATTTAAATAATTTACATTCGTTACACACGTTAGTCATTACACGTAACAATACATATTAATTATCTTTTATCACGCTGCTCATATATGTACATATATATTATAATCAATGCATAATTGTAAGTAAAAAATAACATTTATCGCCTCCATGGTCTTTTTTTATTTTCGAGAACCGAAGTCCTTATCAAAGTCAATACCGGACTTGTAATTATTCTCTTGACATTATCGCGGTCTTATTGCCTTGTAAGTTGAAAAATCTAGAAAACAATTTGATCGTATTAACGTCAACGTAATGATGCTTCTCGATTTGTTTCAACCATTTGCTAATAAAATACAGATATTCATTAACAAGATATATAATTTCCGATCAATACACAAGGAGTATATTAATTACACCATTAATGGTAACCAATTAACAATTGTACAGTAGCAAATGGAAAATTAATCTCGTATCTAATGGGAGATTAATCTATCACGCGCTCAAATGGAATGATGGATCCAGGGAAATGAACCGCGAGAGAGGGAGGTGGGGGGGAGAAAGAGAAAGAGAGAACTAGCTGCCAGCCAATCTACACGATAACTGAATTAGCGAATTTCGAACAATCAGTACAAACAGTCTAATGTACACACTAATATATCTCTCCGCAAGAGAAACCGCAATGTTTAAATTAGCATTTCGGCGGATCGCTTTGTTGATTATACCACGTCTAAACAACGAGTACCTGCAACTCGTCGCGTCGCGTAAAAGAGTTCACGGTGCGGTCTCGCTTCGCGTGTAGTCGGCGCGAGACACTCTTGATTACGCGTTACGTTATATTGACGTACATCCGTCAAATTGGATACAATCCAGATCTATTGAATACACTCTAGCCTCGAATATTTTAAACAGTTTACAAGATGTTTATAAAAAGATTGCCTACGCAAAATCTCAGATGTACCGCCGTGTTTTTCGGCTGCGGGTCTCTTTATTATACCCGAGAGATGGACCGCGTAATAAAGATTCGGTCGAC